CTGAGCAGGGCCTCTCTTCCTGGCCCCTGAGCAGGGCCTCTCTTCCTGGCCCCTGAGCAGGGCCTCTCTTCCTGGTCACCAAGCAGGGCCTCTCTTGCCAGCTCCCCCTGGACACCTGGACAAGGACATGTCCCTTCTTCCCTCTGTCCCCTCGTTGCCATGTCCTCTGTCCCCCTCCAGCATCCTCCCGGAAGACACGGGGCTGGCTTCCAGAAGCCCGGCTCTGAGCCCTCTTGGCTGAGCACCTCCGTTGGAGTCCCCTCCACTCCCCTGTGGGGGACGCTGCCGTCCTGACGGGCAGGAGCCACGGCTCATTGCCCTGGGTCCTGGCCCCACCGCCCAGGGGCCACCGTGCAGCCAGGCTCCAGGGAGTGGCACAGGGAGCAGAGTGCCTTGGTGAGGCCTGGGGAGCTCTCAGGGACGCCCGGGCCGTCCAGGGTGCTGCGCACAGCAGGGCCCTCCCTGGGGCCGCCGTCTCCCTGTCTGCGCACAGGCTGTGGGCTCCGCGGGGGCCGTGGCAGATGGGGCTGGGGGCGTTGGTTTGACCCAACAAGCTGCAGACATTGCCCTGAAACACGGTCTTTTCCTTGTGACATAAACACAATCTGTTCCCCAGAAGTGCCGCCATAAACAGACTCCAGGCTCCGCGAATCGGGCCCCCAGGGTGCCCCCGCGGGTTCCGCACAGGCCGAGCTCACTTCCAAGGGTTCTCGGAAACCCAGCCAAGAGGCCTGTGCTGACCCTGCCCAGCTCGGCACCTGCTTCAGCCTCTGCCCCAAACGCCTCCCGCTCCCGCCCACCCTGTTCCTGCCGCAGCCCCGCCCTGCACCCAGGGATGAGTCTCCGCTGCCTCCTGTGGACCCTGGAGGCCTGGGCTGAGCTTCCCTCAGCTTGTGTCCTAGTAGCAAGTGCCTCCATGTGCCTTCAATGAAGAGGAGACAGAAGCTCAGGGAGGTCTCCTCCTTCTCTGCAGGTCAGCAGCTGGGAGGTGCTGGAGAAGTGCCAACTCATGAGCTCCGCATTCCTGGGCTCAGGCCTGCGAGTGCCTCGCGTGTCTTAAAGGGGCTGACCGGCCAGGGGTTTTCCAGGTCTTTCCAAGGAGCGCAGAGGCCTGTGCGCATCCCTTCGCCTCCTCCTGGTCTGCGGCATCCCTTCTCTTCATTAAGCCTGGGCCTATTAATAACCAGCCATTTGTCTTAACTCAATAAGGAGATGATTGATTGCGGTCGCTGCGTTTGGCGCGCCCTGAGGGTGATGGATGGCCTGCAGCAGGCAGGAGAGGACAGCTGCCTGCGTGGCTGCAGGGGGGCCAGCTGGCTTGGCCTCACCTGGCGCTTTAGACCGAATCTTGAAAAGTGTGCACTTGGCCTCCCAGGAACCGAGCACCGAGGGACGTCTTGCTGGGCGTGTTCCGAAGCTTCGGGCCCAGGCCAGAGCTGAGCTTGGAGCAGCCTGGAGGCAGCGTGGTCAGATGCTGCCTGCACCTGTCAGGAGCTGCCCGCCGCTGCCATGGGCAGGAAGAGGGGCGTGTGGCGCTGCCCTGGGCTAGGAGGCCGGGCTGCACGGCTCTCCAGGGCAGCCCTGGTCCATGCTGTGTCCAGACGGTGGCATCCACCAGCAGAGGGCCTGCTCACTCCTGTGCTCCTGTCTGGACTCTGGACACCAGCAGGGGACTCCCCGGGGAGTCGGGGCCAATGTTCCTGGCTCCTAGGTGACCGGCCGGCCGTGGGGCCAAGGCCCAGCTCCTCCGCCAGCCACCCCCCTTCCAGCCACACAGTCCCCTCTGGCTTCCTGTCCTGTGCCCCCTACTCTGCGGGTCCTCTCTGCCCTCCCAGAATCCTCCACATCACTCCTGGGGCTGGACCCCTGCCAGGTCCCGGCCACTCTGTGCTGTGCTCTGAATGTTTACATTTGTCCAAATTCCTGGGTTGAAACCCTCACTGCCAAGGTGGTGCGCTGGGAGGGGGGCCTATGGAGGTGACCGGTCGTGAGGCAGAGGTGACTGGAAAGGGTCCCAGGAGGTCCCCAGAGGGAGCAGGAGCTCCTGACTTAGCCACAGAGAGGAATTTCAGGCGGTGCATCAGAAGAGGTGCACAGCAGGAAGCAAAGGGGTTTTCAGGGGAGGAGCCGAGCAGGACACACCCCAGGGAGGAGGGACTGTGCAGGAATGTGAGCAGAGCCTGGGGGTGACCAGGGTGGGTCGGGGATCCGGGTCCTTCAGGGTCGTCGTCCTGCAGTCAACAGAGAGCATCTGTTGCGCCTCACCCAGGCTCCAGCAGCGTCCACCCTGGGCCTCACCTCAGGCCACCCAGGCCCCAGCGGCTCCCTGGGCCCCTGCACCAGGAGCTCACAGAGGGTGGGGGTGGGGGTGCCGTCTCGGCAGCAGGAAGCAGCCCTCAGCACACCCTGGGTCCACCACACCCTGATCCTGGACGTGCAGCCTCCCGACTGTGGGAGTGACCTTCTGCGTTTGTAGACACCCAGTCTGGGGCAGCCAGAGTGGACGTGGACACCTGGACCCTTCCCCCAGGGAGGACGCACCCTGCGTGGGAATCCCTGGACCTTCAGCGCTTGGTGCTCCACCCCCACAGACACACCCTCAGCTGCCCCCAGCCCGCCCCAGCCCAGCCAGGGTCCTGCCGGTCAGCCCAGGTGTGTGCTGCTCCTGGCCGAGACCAACAGCGCGGTGCTGTGGGAGGCAGCAGCCCGGCAGGCAGGCAGGTCCTCTGGGCTCCGAGAGGCTGCCCTGCGTGGCCTGGTGCCAGTGAACAGGGTGAACACACGTCTTCAAACAGCCCCGAGATGCACTCACCGGGCCCTTGTTTTAGCCAATTCTCCAAACCCCGAGAGGACTCTGATCCGTGGTCACGAGGATGATGGGAGCCATTACGGGGACGACTCGGCGTTGGGAAGATGAAAGGATAATGAGGCTCCAGAGGAAGATGCTCCAGGCCCATGGGCCGCGGCGGGCACCTGCGCGGGTCCCTTTCTCCAGTGGCCACGCTTTTATGTGCCTCCTTTTACATTCATGTCTCCAAAGATGAGACTTTGCATATCCCTCTCTCCCTCCCTCTCTCTCTCTCTCCCTCCCTCCCTCC